GTAGATGGACCTGAAGTCCCGCGCTTGGCGCGGCCGGGCGGGAAGCGGATGTGGGGATGTGGCGGGGGGGGGGATGTTTCTCCAAGGACATGGAATGGCGCTCGGTTTTTCCGGTTTCCATGTGGTTCTTTGCCTGTGGTGAAACAAAAGAAAGGTCAGCTTGGAGAGAAACATCCAAGGTGCAGGATTCTTTTGAGCTTGGTAGTTGGTACCTGTGTAGAAATGGTTTTGAGGAAAACACAAAGGAATCTGTTTTAGGGGCGACAGTCCCTAAATAGCTCTTCTTTGAATGGACATTGGAAAACGGGTATGATATTCAAGTGGACACAAATGCATGATTGAGGTTGTTTCTGATTGAAACTACTTTCTGGGTAAAACAAAACAAAAAAGAGTTCGTCCCCCATGTCCCATGCTGCAACGTGACCACTCTTAAAACAAGCCTCTAAGAGCAAGTAAGAGGAAGCCTCCAACAAAGTTCAATCAGAACCTCCCCGTCAGCTCCAGACCGCAAACCCTGGGCACCATGCGTGGCACTGATCTTCTTCTTGGCCGTGTAGTAGCCTGCCCAGATGGGCGAGCGCTTTCGTTGGCGAGATGGCTGTGGGTCAAAATGAGGTACCCAAAAAGGAACGCTAGTAAACGGAAACATGGACTAAAACCTGCGGTCGCCTGGTAGTTTAATTTTGACCCATACCCAGATCAGGATTGCCGAGCGCGCGCGTCAATTGTCCCAAGCTCCGAAGACAAATGGGCAACAGCAGTCGACCTGCGGCTCCTGGATTCGCAGGCCACAGGAGCCGCAGGCCAAGCACTTTACAAAGACCAAATCTCGCAGCAGCAGAATGAAGCTTTGTCGCGCACGCACGCACGCAAGCACGCACGCCCGCCCGCCCGCACCCGCACCCGCACCCGCACCCACACCCACACCCACACCCACACCCACACCCACACACACACACACACAGAGACATAGATTCGCAAACACGCAATGCCTTTGGGAAGGACACGCAGCAGGCCGGTGACACTGCCGATGTGAATCAGACTGGTCTTCCTTCATGATTTATGTCTTCGCGGCCGTTTGGGCAGACTGTCTTTCTCAAAATTCGGACCCCCTTTGGCTTGGTTTCCAGAAAGGTGTCATCTTCAAACCCTCCCAAAAAGGGGGGCCCAAAAAGGGGGGGGGGCTATTTTCAGAAATACCCAGGTATCCCCTGACTCACGGCTTTGGGAGACCCCGAGAACGGTCGAAGCCTCCGCCCCCTCCAACCCCCCCACCGCGCGCCGTGGGTGAGGTGCCCGCCGCTCGGCAGGTCCAGGCCCATGACGCGGGCATGGGGCGGCAGCAGGGCAGTGTAGACCTCGGTGCGTCGGTCCGTCGGTCCGAAGGTCCGAAGGGCGGCCTGGGATTCGGACCCGTAGGGAAACCACAGGGAGAGAGCCGAAGCCAGCTTTTTTTCTGGTTTAGGGAAGGATTCCGGACTTGCGAATGTCCCCCCTGCTTGTTTGTTGCCGAAGGATCCAGCGCCGGCGAGTGGGGAAACAATCATATTTGCACTCAAAAAGTCAAACCGAAGGGCATTGCGGAGCCTTTGCTACTCAACTCATCCCTCCAGCAGGCCCTCCTTTGGAACTCTCGGCGAGTCCCGGGCGGCAAAATTGGCTGGGCTGCCAGAGTAGGGCTGCACGTTGACGCCCCACTCCTGGGCTGCATGTCAACCGCCGTCGGGTTGCATCCAAACTCCTTCAGTGTACCCTCCCTCCAGAAAAAAAGAAGACTACTCTCGCTTTGGGGAAGCCTGCTGTCCGGAAAGAGGGTAAACCTGGAAAGGCACGTCCCGCTCCAGCGGGACAGACTGAGACAAGTGCAAGATGGGGGGCCTGCTTGGATCGTCTTTGGCTGCCCCTTGAGCAAGTATTTCTTACTTGTGTTCCAGCGCATGGCACGCATTCAGCAGCTTCAAAGCTCCCAAGTTGCGAATCCCGGCACTCAGTGCTGGCAATCCAAAAAGCAAACCCTCAGAAGCGAACCGTGGGACCCGGACCGTCAGCAAAAACCTGGCCTTTTGAAGGCTGCTTCCTGTGGCAGTGAAAACTGCCACTTGGATGGTTTTTGAAGTGAAACCTGAAGGGAACCTTGCTTCTTCCAGTTTTGTGGGAGGGGGGAGGGTGGCACCTCCCCCCCCCTTTAGAGACAAACCCAACTTCCGGGGAATCTCTTCGAAGTCGCGCACGTTTTTCCACCCACGGACTCCTTCTCATCCAAGCCGAAAGCCTTCAGGGCCCGATCCTTGCACAGGTTCTCCACCTGGCCACCCGCTCGGATTGAGTTCTGCGAGCCCTGGGAAAAGTCGCTTTCGCTGGTTTGCCGCAAGTGGGTCCTCAAATCCCCTGCCAAAAGTGAGTTTCACTTTTAGCGGGCTAAATGTAAAACCCAACCGCTAAGCCAACTAGAAAACCTCCAACTTCAGGAACCGGACGGCTGGGAGCCGATTTTTCCAAGGCAGAAATCGGGGCCAAAGGCGACCCCGGAGCCTTGTCAATGACCTCGTTGCCGCCGTAGTATCCTCAGAACTCCGCCCGACCGGCGGACCCGTACCGGCCGGACGGCCTCCGAGAGGCCCGGGATTCAAAGGCCCGGCGCGCGCTTTGGGAGCCCTGCGGGCACCGGGCTGACCCTCCGAGTACTTGTTGGTGAGGCAGGAGCCCAGACCTAAGCTTCACGTCAAGTGCGCCAAAAATCCCCACGCTCAGCACACTCAGCACACTCAGCACCCCCAGCCGACATGATGCGCCAGAGGGTCACCAGCACCCCCCTACCCGGAATCCGACAGCCCAGCACCACGCGCCACGGAATCACCCTGCACTACCACACCGAAACAGCATCGCCCACACTCCGGACTCGAAATCGGAAATCACATGTGTCGTTCCTAAGAAGTGAGGACCCCCCCCCGCGACTTGAAGCCATCTTCAACGAGCCATCGGGCCATCCAGCGGATGGGGCCATTGGACGCAATAGAGGTTGCTTAAACCCCTTCTTGGCAGGGACTGGAGCTCTGAAACCATCATGGTGTGTTTTTGGAGTTGGCACCCCGCCCACTTGGGAGTCATTCCAATCTATGATACATTGATACATACTCAGGTTACGCTTAATTGGTGGTTTGGATTGGTGGCTTGGATTCGGATTTGAACCCCTTCTTGTAGAGGGTAAATTCGGGTTCACCCACTCCAGAAGACCACCAAACCACCAAACCGATTCGGCTCCAAACCAACGAGGGAAGCTGCACGGGCTGAGGCTTGAACACTCCATCACCGCCCGGGAGGTGAAGTTCTCAGAGGCAATGAGTTCGATGCACTTCATCTGCCTCTCCTCGCTACAGTACGCTTCCGCCAAGTCCCCCCGTCTTGCTTACCCCGAAAATTGTGCAAACAACAAAAACAAACTGGGGACACACTAAAAAACAAAAGCCAGAATGAGGTGCTGCTGGGGAAATATAGGGAAGCCTTCGGCTGCCGGAGCAAGAGGGGGATGCGCATCCGCTCGGTTCGATCCGCTTCAGTGACGGTATCATGTCATGCGCAATGCGCAACGCGCATCCTTCGCGCGTGACGAAAACCTCGTTCTGGGTGCTTCTGGCAGGGTGTTTAACCAAGTAAATGATTGAATGCGGGAGACATTCACCAGCTCCGATGTCACAAACTGTCAGCTCAGTGTTCCAATTCAGCTCCAGGTTCTTCACCTCGGCCCCTCGCGCCTTCTCCGCCTGCACGAGGCCTGCCATCTCAGGATCCGCCTGAGCTCGCTCGATTTTGTCGCCCCCTCGCCCTTCGCTCATCACCGAAGCGTCCCACCTCGCTGAGGGGGCGGTTGCCGGAGAGCTGAGGGCGGGCCATGGCCTGCCGAAAGAGAAAGCTGTGGGCGCTCCCCTTTTTGGGTTAGCTGCAAAGGGAGACCAAAAGAAAAACCACAAAATGTTGGGGTCCCGGAAAAAAAAAGAAAGAAAGAAGGAAAAACAAGAACAAAAAAAGAGTGTCTATGTGTGATTTAGAGGGGAAAGCCACCATTTTGACACACACTTGGACTCCCATACGGACCTCGCGAAGGATTCAAGACAGAAATGGGACAATGACAATGGCCGGCACGTGCTTGGACATTGGTTCTTTCTTGGTCTCTGCAAGTGCACTTAGCTTTGTGGCTGGAAAGTCTAGGGGAGCAAGATTCGATGGGAAGAGTCCTAGGCATGTTTTCCGCACGTGTACAAGCATAGTCTGCCTACAAGAATTAAGGATTACCTGTGTCCAGTTTGCCAGGCACCTTCCGCAGCAGGACTAGTTGGATGATGTGCGGCAGAAATGCAAGGCAACAAAAGTTGCACAAGTCCTCATGAACAGCTAAACAGCACCCCATTGAAGTCCGACGTTTATGGCCCGTGCGTGGCGTGCTTTGCTTGCCCTTGGTTGTTGCAAGCGGATGCTTAAAAAGAGGCAACATAAGCATGGCTGAAAGCTCGAAGGAGCATGCGCAGACTTTGAAAAGGCGCCGTTGACCTTGCAAGACTACCCTGAAGTTGGTCTCAACATGAAGAACCCCACCCCGGTCGCGGACAAAGAAATCATCTGAGCAGTCGTTGAGAGACAGGAAAGTGAAATGAGAGATCTCACCCTCGGCAACTGGGACCCCGCGCGAAGAGGGAGCTTTGGCACGGCACAAAGTCAGGGCTGCGTCTCTGTGAGCAGGATCGGCATCCAAAGAACTCTCAACTTCTGACAAAGGAATCCCTCAAACTGAAGCCATTTTAGGGCTTCCAAACTCTCTTCGAAAGCCGTCTCCATTACCATCTGAATTGGCCCTTCTGCACTTCTGCACTTCTGCACTTCTGCACTTCTGCACTTCTGCACTGCGCTCCTCACCGTTGCTTGCCACCGCAGGGACCCTTGGCTTCTTCGGTCAGCGGCAGAAACCGAAAACCCGGCGACTCGCTCTCTCGAAAGGGCGCCCGGGCGGCGAAGTGGCCGGGTGGATCCCGGCCCTGCCGGCCTTGCTGCCGGCCTGCTGCAAGATCCTGGCCGGAACGAGAGAGCTGCGAAAAGACGAGAAGATTGGCCCACTTGAAGCAAGGGCTTGAAGTTCTGGAAGCGGCACAGCGGGTCCCCCAAACGCAGCCGGACTCATTTGCCCAGCTTGGCATACAACTCGAGAGGTTCATCAACGAGACCCCGACTTCTTCACCGCGTCCATGACGTCTTGCTGCTGCAGAGCACCTGGCGCGCGCTTCAAACTCGCCCCCGAGTTCAACTTCGCATGGGGCCACTGTGGTCAAGTGCCCAAAGGGGCACTTTGGAGATGCCGGACGCCGAGGTGAAACCGCAGCTTGCAGTTTGGCAGCATCCCTAAGAAGTGACCAATTGTGTGATGATCAAGTGGTTCTCGGGAGACTAATTAATGACAATCCAGCCAAGAGTCAGATGAGAAAACGACTGTGATAGCCTTCCGATAGCCTTCTGGCCAGCATGAAACCCGTGGATCCTTTGGTGCGGGCAGCACCAACACCAAATTGGGATTTATGGTGTTGACATTTAAAAGACATAGCCGAGCAAACACAAAAAACCGTCTGACCAGGCGGCTGATCAGCTGGGGGCATCTTTCCAACCCAATGGTTGGGCAGTTAAACTGCCATTTTGAGAGAATCCCCTCTGAGGGTGTCCCTTTTTTTAAGGGCACCCGGCGCGGAAAAACGAGAAACCCACCAGTTTTTCGGGGGTTCGTTCCAACCTGAAAAGAAAAAGACGAGCTACACGCCGTGCTCTTCTTCAGCCACACGAGCCTCAGGCCGGGAACTTCCGCGCCTTCCAGGTGCGCCGCCTCCAGCGCTTGAAACTCCCGGGCCTCCGAGCTCGGCGCCGCTAAGGCAGAGGCTTAAAGGAAGAAGCGGGGGAAAACCCTCGGAAAACCCCAAGAGAAACCGAGGGAAATGAGTTCGGACACCTTTTTAGGACACCCTTTAAGAGTTAACCAAGGGTGACAAAGAAAAGCCAACGGAAAACAATGAGAAATTCAAGGGAAACCAATGAGAAACCCAAGGGAAAAACCAAAGGAAAACTCAAAGGGGCACCGACACGCAAAGGAACGCCGAAAGAAAAACCCAAAGGGATGGGGGAGAACTGAAAGGGAAACCCAAAGGGACATTCAAAGGGACATTCAAGAGTAACCAACGGAAACCCAAGGGAAATGAACGGAAACTCAAAGGGAACCTAAAGGAGAACAAGAAGGGAAACGACAAGAAAAACCTAAAGGGAAACCAAAGAGCAAACCAAAGGAAAATTACAAGTAAACCAAGAGAACCCAAACAGAACCAAAGGTGAACTAAAAGGAAACCAAAGAGCAAACCAAAACGAAACCCCAAGGGAAATCAAAGGAAAACCAAAGCGAAACCAAAGGGAAGTTAAAGAGAAACGAAAGGAAACGGGAAAACAAAGGCAAACCAAACGGAAACGCAAAACGAAACCCAAAGGGAAACCAACTGCAAATCAAAGGCAAATCAATGGGGAATTAAAGAGAAACCAAAGGGAAACTCAAAGGGAAACTAAAGGGAAGCCCAAAGGGAAATCCAAAGGGAAGCCAAAGGCAAGCCAAAGGGAAACCAAAGGAAAATTAAAGGGAAACCAAAGGGAAGCCCAAACGGAAAACCAAGGGAAACCCAAAGGGAGACCAAAGAGAAACCAAAGGGAAGCCAAAGAGAAACCAAAAAGAAACCAAAGGGAACCCACACGGACGTTTTTGCCGCCCAATTGAGGTCGCCTTGACATACCTTCTTTTGGCCCGCCTCTGCTCCGCCCCTGGCCACAGCGGTGAATGGGCACCCCGTGCAGGGCGCCCTTTAAAGGCGGCAATGGCAGGTTCAAGGGCCAGCAATTTTCAGCGACCTCTGTTTGTCTCATTTGGAGCATCGCAAAGGACCATCGGAGCCATTGGCTGGCTCTGGTCCTTCGAAATGTTCGGGCATGTCACAGAGACCCACGTAGAAAATAGGACGCAGGTGGCCAGCTCTTGGTGTTCAGTCGCATAGCTTGGACTTCCCTTTACAACCAAAAGTTGTGAGAAGAAAACAAAAAAGGTTGGTGCAGTGCGCACAAGCGCGGAAAGTGCACGGCTTGAAATCTGAACTTCCATCATCAGAATCCCCGAGGCTCGCCTTTCTGCCATCCGGATTAGCCACTGCAGCAGTTCTTTGCCTGAGGCTGACGCAACATTTGCGCGGCACCCGGAAGCGTGGCTTTTAGCAATCGCAAAAAGGGTGCTTTTTACGTGCACAACAGACACCTGCGCAACATACATAGCCAGATACACCATTAACACAAAAGATATGTCTTGAGAAAAGGCAGCGGAGGTTGATGAAACGCACGCTGAGGGAGTCGTGCGGGTCCCTGTGTAAAGAAGCAACAGGTATTTGCAGTTCAGCGCTGTCCGCGGGTTGATGTGTGAAATCCCTTGGCATTGCGACTTTTTCGAGTCCTTGGCGATCAAGAGGAGACTGGGCATCGAGTGTCTGTATGACCCAAATACACAAGCGCAAACGCAATAAGCAAGATACAAGATACACATACGCAGAATATGAGTAAATGTGAGTGAGATACTGATGAGCAACATTTACAAGAGCAACACGAGCAACATACACATGACCAAGTTACATCGAAGATAGAAACACAATTTCACCATGAGCAAGATACATATGAGCAAAATAAGTTCAAAATCAAATATGAGCAAAATATTTTAAAACTGATACACAAAAAGCGACTTGAGCAAGATCCAAGAAAAAAGTGTCAGTGCGCACAAACAAGCATGCCAACATCCGAAAATACCTGTCTACATGCGGGAGTCAGCTCGCTGCCGAGTTCATGACTTTACGCACGCTGGAATCAGTGCAAACACACATGCGCGCGCACTCTTCAATGGTAGCTTTTGCCACCCATGGCATGTGGCACCTTTTGCATACCGCTTCTGCTTGCATTGCGCTGTTGTGTTGCACCCACGCGGGTTGCGAGGCATGCAGTCCTTCTGCCAGTGTGGCTACATACCCGCCTGCCGTCTCTGCAAAATGCATGACAAATTGAGGATGTCCGGTGCGAGGAAAGAACGTAACAGTGTCTGCTTGAGATGTGTCCGATTTGGCCACCCACGCAAAATCAACAAGTGTTGCTTTTTGTGAGTCTCTCTTCGAGGGCAATTTTGGAGGCAAGCCAAGTAGTTGCTTGTTTGTTTGTTCGTTTGCTTGCTTGCTTGCTTGTTTCATTGATTGCTTCTTGCTCGCTCGCTGGCGTGCTTGCTTGTTTGCTTGTTTGCTTGTTTGCTTGTTTGCTTGTTTGTTTGTTTTTGTTGTTGTTTGTTTGTGGATTTGCTTGTCTTGTCTTGTCTTGTCCTGTCCTGTCTTGTCCGGTTTGTCCTCATTGTTTCTTTGTTTCTTTGTTTCTTTGTTTCTTTGTTTCTTTGTTTCTTTGTTTCCTTGCTTCTTTGCTTCTGTGTTTGTTTGTTTCTTTGTTTCTTCGTTTGTGTTATTTGTTTGCTTGTCTTGTTGGGTGGTTGGTTGGTTGGTTGGCTGGCTGGCTTGCTTGCTTGTTTGTTTGTTTGCGTTCATGTGGAGCTCTAAGAGAACCAGACTGGCTGCATCGTGAAATAGCTGCCAATTCAGTTGCTGACGAACTCACGAGTCGTGAGGCACGCAACGCAAAGAACTGCCACTCTGCCGGTCACTGGGGCGCCCAGCAGGCTGTCTTGTGGCTGCGCGTCATGTCCGCCTTGTCGTGCATGTACGCACTCTGCCTGGTCTAAGCACAGTGTGCGCCCAACTCCAACTCCAATCTGCGCTGAGGAGCCCGGCGCTTCCTGCAGCTCTGAGATCATGATCAGCTCCTCTTGGCTGAGCCTGGCTTGGGCATTGTCTCGCGCTTGTTTCATCCGAGTGAGGAAGCTCTCTGCGCAAGCTCCTTCTTGCAAGACGCTCGACGGCTCTTGGCACATCAACCACAGTGTGCAGAAGGTCGCGCGGTTGCGCAGCGAGCGTAGGTTGCCACACGCTCGGGTGTTTGCGCGCGACCCCCGCAAAGGGTCGCACAGCATTCCAGTTTTCTCACATCGACCACGCAGATTTCAAAAGTTGCGAAGCACTCGGGTTTTTGCACAGCGACCACGCCAATGCCCGCAGAGCTCGCACAAGGATGACAAGATGAAGAAACACTGATATTTTGCACGCCAATCTTTGCAGAGGATCGCAGGGAAACCTCTCATAAGTTCTATAACACTCGTGTTTTCACACGTCGACTGGGCTGATTTCCGCAGAGGGCACCGGCTCATCGCCGGCGGTACGAAAAGATACCTCACGCGATGTCTCACCGCGCAATCACCGTGCAACTTTCTGCAAAAAGTGGGCATGACGTGTGTAAGCGCAAAGCAAGACCTCTCCGGGGCATCTCTCTGCGAAATATCTCGCAAACTTATTGCACACGATCTCCCCACGTTTCGAGCGTGCCGCGTGTTTTATTTTTTGTTGTGTCGCTTTGTGTGTTGTCACCTTCTGCGTTATGTATCCACGATCTGATCAACTCTTCCGTGGCATCAATCTGTGTTGGTCTGTGTGCTCTCTCTCTCTCTCTCTCTCTGTGCAGGGGCCAATCTTAGCTATTCTCTCTCGGTGTCTGTGCAAGAAGTAAGCGATCTTACCGCAAGAACCCTTTCAAGCGGAGAAATCTGCAAGGATCAAATGCTTGCCCTCAACTTTCTTGAACTCATGGCTTGCTCAGCTGGGCTGGGAACTCTTTTCCGGGCCGCGCCTGGGTTGAGGCCCTTCCACCTCCACCTCATCTCGATCTCCCCGAATTTCCACAACACTCCGATATCCCCCTCTAAATATCACCTCCCAAAAGGCCCAAATGCTTAAGCAACCAACATGCGACACGGGAGCCCTCCCCGGTTTTCACTGAAGCCTGCATCTGCGCAGCCCGCAACTAGGTGGTTCAATGCCACCTTTCTGCTTGAAAGAAAGAATCAGAACATGTGGTGATTGTCCTGTGCGAGGAACAGCAAGGCAAGCAAAGCAGCCACAAATGCACTGGTTACCCTGAGCGTGGGGTAAGCCGTGCAGATCGAAGCCGTCCGAGAACTTTGTTGCGCGCTTGAGAAATCAACTCTGATGCGTTCGGAGTGAGATCGAAACAATTGCTCTGCCAAAGTGCAGTAACTGCGCAGACCTCACTAAGGAGCAAGCCGCCCCCGCAGCAGCTTGCAAGTAAAAACATTGCAAAAAGATAGACGATGCATGGGACGACCGATGAACGCATCTACAAGTTATGGCAATGTCTGTTTCAGGGTCGCCCTCAGGCATCAGTGTCTTTTACCAGGGAAACCTGCGCAGCACATCGGGCTGCGGCCAATATCCCAGACAAGAGTGCATACAGCAGGAGCTACAGCCATTCCTTTGATTTCGCCGCCACTCCTCTGTGGAAAGACTCCTGCCCGCAGAGTTTAGATGCCAACCAAAAAATGCAGTGGCATCCCAACGAGCTGCCTCTAAGGATTATATCTCGCCAAGCTGGAGATGCTGGAGTCGCTCGAGCTGGTCCAGCTTGCCCCGCAACTAAGTCGAGACTTCCCCGAGCCATCAAATGGTTAGAAAACTGAAGGCAAATTAAAAAAGGATCGCTGCATGCAGCAACAACAACAGACACTGGAGCTTGCAAAAGCAGTTATGAAAGACTTGGCCTTGGCCAAGCAGGGATGAAAATGGAGTGGGTGGATGGGGTGGTAACGATGTCCAATCCGGCTTGGTGTGGAGTTCACCATCCACACAAAGGCCGTTGTCGAATGCTCCACCCTATTCCTCGCCAAGGCTGTTCCTGTGTGATGCGACCTGCGATGTGAGCTTGTGCGGGCAGCATTGCACCTCCTTAGGTGCCCGACCTAGCTGGACATGTCTGGGAACACAATCTCTGAAAGCTTGCAGCAGATACTGTACAGCATGGGGAGCTGCATGGCAAAACAAGTCGCGAGCGAACTAGTATGGATAGGCAAACTGGTCTCGCACAAGCCAATCGGGATGAAGTGGGAGGGGTGGGCAGCTTAGAAAAAGAAGAGAAGAGAAGAGCAGAGCAAAGGACAGCAGCGCAGAGCAGCAGAAGCCCAAGAGATGAAGCCAAGACGCTGCAAGGAACAGGCTCAAGGACTCTAAGCCCTCATCGTGGAGAAGCCGATTCGGCGCTACATCGAACGAGCCGGGCTCGGTCCGGTCCAAGTAGGACAAGCACGGCTCAACGGGGTCCTTAAGGCATGCGGGTGTCTTCTTTTGTGCACGGCGTTTAAAGGGGAGTCAAAAGCGTGCAAGAAGCCAACAAGCACCGCAAAACTGCACGGCCTCTTCTCAAGCACAAGGACCCGGCGCAACTTGCCATGTTCCAAGGGGCCTCATCGCATTCCTCCAAGTCCCGCTTCTCGCTTGGCAGTGGCGGCAAGGCGCCATCTTCCTTGCTGCGTTTGCGAGCTCCATAGAGGGAGGGGGGGGGGTCAGTCAAATCCGCCACTGGTCGGGCAAGGACTCTCTTGGGTGCAGGTTATCCTCCACCAACCTGCAGTTTGGGCTCCCAAAACCCGGAAATGTCCAGTGTTTCATTGGCGTTCAAATGAAATGCCATAATTTTGCTTGCTCAGAGTACCTCTTTGAGCGTGTCAGGCTGAGTCTTAGTTCTTGGGCACGTCTGTGCCGTATGCAGTCAATCGAAATCAGCTCGTGTGCTGCTGGTTCTTCAAAGGAAGCCAAAGGGAAACGAACGAATCTCTCCCCTTGTATTAATTAAACACCGTGATGTATAATACGTACAACTTCTGTCCAGACCCCACATGTGCCACCAATTCTGTACTCCCACCCTAACTCCAGTTATGAAGTTATGTTGCGGGGTTCTCCAACAGCTCTCTCCCAAAAAGCAATTAGGGTTTTCAATGTTTGAATGGTCCTGCATTTGACGTTCAAATGTGATTCTTTAAATCCTTGGCAAGTTACGAGCGTTACCATTTTTTGCCTGGGAAAGGGCAAAGAACCCAGGACTGGACCGTAGCGGCAACCCTCTGGGACAACCCGGTGCCCCACTAACCAAAAGAAGTTTCGTTGGAACCCGTGATACGAAAAGTTGCAGAGACATGCAAAGAAAGAAATAAAGTTTTCAAGAAACAGAAAGAAATACAGTAAGCAAGAAACATGAAGAAGAAATACAAAGAAGGAGATAGATAGCAAAGGAAGGAACTGTGTGGCAGGCGCACCACTGGATACAAAATGTTGCGCCTGCCACGAAATCTACACCTCAGGTTGCCAAAGCGCTGCACCTGCCACGCGATTTGCACGTCCGATGCATGCGCACGCGCAGCCCGTGGGGCAACTTTCCAGACTGCGGCGAGCCCTTGGCGAACCTGCTCGCTGAACAGAGGTAGCCTTCGCAGCTGCTGCGCGCCGAATCCGTGGCAGGCGCAAATGCAGGAAAGGGGGCAGCGCTAACAACATCCTTTTCAAAGGCAGTTGGAAAGACATGCGCAGGGGCAGCAGCGGCTACAAGAAGGCGAGGAGGAGTTGCGGAAGGCCTCATATTTTCAAGCAAGTGCAGCCAAGGAGCTGAATCACCCTAACAGAAAAGCAGCAAGGAACTGGCATAAACAAAGGGGCATGTATTTGCTTCAATCTTAGACTGGACGCAAGCGCAGCAGCGCAAAGAGCCATTGGCAGGCGGTCATGTCCAAAAATGTCGGCGGCTTCAACAGGAGCACAACCTTGTCGGCGCAGGCTTACGGTATGTATCTACAAACTTGTGTGCGGCCCATGCCTGCAAAAAACGGAACTGCGTGTTTTGGGGACAGCTGCACGCACGGCTGAAAGAAGCCTGGCTTGGCGCTGGACTTTTGTCGGCCAGCACATGAAAAGCAACAGATGCCAAATGTCTGACACAATGCCAAAGGTGACCCTGACGTCACAAGCTGTGTCGTGAGAAAGTAAGAGCCCTGCGAACCCTAAACAGACCCCTGATTTCTTGAAAGGACTCGCCAAGCAGCCACCACCAGCATTGGTTTGCTCGGCAAGCCAACAAGGAGGCTGATGCCAGTCATAGCGAAGGGGAGGAGTATGAGAACAAGGTGTTGGCAAGGCCGGGGCAGAGCCAAACTTCGCAGACGCATCCGGAGGCAAAGCACGCCTCAGTCTCTCGCGTCAAAATGCGATTTTCTAACACGACCGATGAGGAGACTACAAGAGAGCGAGCAAAGGGAACGGCACAAAAAACATCGTCTCACATAGCATGTGGTTTGGCACATTCTTGCTTGGAAGAGCCATAATCTCGGGAAAAATAGGTCTTGTGTTTGCAGGTGGCCGTTTGGAGCTTGGCATGAGCAACTTTCAGCCTGTGAGGGGTAGGGCGGTCAGATCTCTTGAGTTTATTCTTCCCCAACCGCCCCCGCCCCCCCAACCCATGTCTGTCCCGCGCACATGGCTACAATGAGTGGTGTTGAAAGTGGCTGAAAAGCCAGCTCGGAACTCATATCTCCTGCTGGCCAGGCCTGTTTTTCCTGCCTAAAACACTAGCCCATCTATCTGCAGTCGCCCAGCCAGCTCCAGCCCAGTCCAAACCACGCTCAGCCAACCCGTCCGTCTAGCTCACGCAGCCAAACTTAATCCAGCCTGGCTCAGTCACAGCCCAGTGTCCATCCCAGTCCAGTGTTTGGGCCGCCAGCAAGGCGCAGTGTTGCATGACAGAAGGTTGTTTCCACAACCTTTGGTTGTTGTCATTCTTGTTGTCGCTGTGGTTAGTGGTGTTAGAAAACAAAAGCAAGGCACTGCGTCACTTGGCTCCATGACTCACACCTATGAATCGCCACTTGACCAGCTCTGTTGCTGCTTTCGAGCCACAGACGCTGCATGCTGGGTATGTGTCAGGAGCTCCGTGGTGAAACTGAATTGCCCACAAAAGAAACCAATGCGAGAAATTGCTTTAGGTAGCCGATTTGGAGACAAACCCACATGGCCAAACATGCGATCCCAGAACGATGCGCAAGGCGGTACAAAACTGTAGCATCTTCTATGCATCGACATTGCATTTAGCTTCGCAAGACATGGTCCGACCACTCAGAATCACAGAGGTGCCGCAGCAAGGCTCCTGAGAAACTTCGGCCAACATGGGGTGACTGCGGACAGGGTTCTGCCTCACGGATAAGGAAATAGAAGCGCTTTGCGCCTGCCTGCCAATGCCTCAAGGTACTCTGCCCAAACTGGCAAAGACCGGTGTTGTGACAGTGGCAGATGTAGACTGGTCATGTCAAAATGCTGCAGGATCTTGCCTCGCTGCACATTCCGCAGTCCTTTGGCAAGTTTGGCATGCAAACTGTATGTCCAATCAGGCGCTGGGAATCTTGGGAAGAAAGACAGGGTACCTTCAAAGGACACACCTATATTCATTTCACCTTCCCGTTGCAGCGGAGGCGGCCGAGCAAATGGTTAAGCAGAAACAAAGCCCAGGCTCTTTGCAACACGAGCGAGCCGTGAGACTCGTATTCCCAGATCCATTTCAAACATGTGTTCTGGACTGAAAAGAAGAAAGCCGTTGCTTGCCATGAGAAGGCCAAAGGCATGTCAGGTGGTTTGCAACTTCAAAAAAGGATAAGGGAACATCACATAAGAGATGTAAATGTCTGGCTCACCCGCCCCCCCAGTTTTCTGGTGGCGTGAGTTGCCACACATCCAAAGCACAAGGTGTGCCAAGCGAAACAAAGAAACCAACTCAAGTACGGCGGAGGCGTTGCAAATGAACACAAGGAAGCTCAATTCAAACAAGCCAAAGGGGTGATGTTCAAGCCAAGGGAAATACCGGAAGCCCGGTGCTTCCTGCCATGGACATTGTCTGCGCCTCTCTCACCACTGAAGTTGAATGGATACACTGCAAATAAACGCCAGCGTGGCCGAAAAATGGCCAGGCCAAAGACCCGCCGTCAGTTGGGTGCGTGTCAAAATTGAGGGACCCCGAAAATTGTGCCGTTCTATTTTCTTGGGTTGAAAAAAAACAACAACGATATTTCCAGTAGTGATAGATTCCTTTTAAAACCAACAGGGGAAAAAAAAAAAAAAAAACAAAAAAAAAACAATGTCCCAAGCAAATGGAAGCCTTGTTCACGGCTGGCCTTTCGCCTGACACTGCCTTCCGCCATGGGGCATCGGCCCATGCCGGAAGATCTGGCTCAAAATCTGCAGACTTCCCAGAAAAGACGCAATTTCAAATGCCCACCTTCATCTTATTCAGATGTCGATGGGCCCTGGCGACATCTCATTGTCGCGCCGATGATCTACCTGCTGCTCCAACGTCTCGGGGCTGAACTTCACTGCCTCGGCAGAGACGCTCCCCTAAAGGAAATCGCCGCGGCAACATGCAAACAAAGCCTCTGGAAAAAAGATGCTCTGGGCATCACGTGTACACCAAACATCCGGCACGGGAACAGTAAGGCCATCTCTCAACGCAAGGCGAGTCAAGTATTGGCCAGGTCGTCGAACCTTCCCACGGCAAAGAGCAAGAATTGGTGTGGAACTTGCTCCCCTAAGAACCCGGCACACATCCAGAGCTCGATCTCCAAAATGTACTTCTCGTGCAGCAGGCGGTTTGGAGCTCCGACGCCGGTCCAAATGTAGAAGGAGGAACGTGGCGATCGCAAACCCTGGCAGCTGACGGGGGCGCCACTCGGCTCGACGTACGTTGCCTTTCGGGCTTTTTGATCGAAATTCTGTCTCACAACACAGCGTGAACAAGGGAAGGCGCAAGTCGTGAATCCCGAACCTGAGAAACCTGGAAACTTCGCTGGACATCCGCTACCCGTGGCCTCTGTGACAAAGGCACTGGGTACAGCTTGCATCACCTGGGGACCAGCCATATTTGCATGCAGTGAAGCCGGATCTTGGTCAGCAAACAGCTCAGAAAACATTCGCGCGCAGCCCAACCAGTGGGAGAAACGACCCTCTTCCTCCATCCTAGTACCAAGCACTTGTCCGATTTGCGCTGCTTTATGAACTCACAAGCTGCGTCAGAGCAGTCCCAACCAGCCTTGTTGTCAGACATGGTTCCGTCAGCAGACAGTTCGGGTTCTTCTGCGAAACTCTCCTGCCACAAAACCCTTGACATATTCTGTGCACTGTGTTGCGGTCAAAGCAGGTCCACTGCTTCGGTCCACTTGTTCCCCCGGGATAGTACCCTCGAACGAAAAACAGACACATATGGGCAGGAATCATAATTAGGGACCTTTGGGTGGACATCATTTACCAACCATTTGGGAGGGAATCCCCTGCCCAAGCCGGTAACTACAAGAACGGCTAGCCCGAAAGCGTAACAAGTAGCACGCGCCACGCATGTTCACTGCAGCAGCTCCGTGCACATCACGACAACCGCCTGCGCACTGTAGCTCGTCAGCACGTGTGTCTGTGAGCAGCATAAATACATCTGACTCAAGATGTCAAGATGGTGTCTCTTTGGTTCTCACGCGTGTTGTGCGTGCGCAGCGTGCAATTTGGCTGATCTGCGCTCGCGCATCTTTCCCTGCGCGCGTAGGGCGTGCTATTTGGCTGATCCGCTCTCGTGCACCTGGCTCTGCGGGCGCTTGTGCGTTATTTGTCAAACATGCTCTCAGGTCTGGCTGCTGCTCACACTGCTTGCGATTCTATTTGGCTGATTTGCTCGTGCGCATGTTGCTCTTCTGCTCGCTGCGAGCTAGGTGGCTCATCTGCGCTCGTGCATCTCGCCCTGCGAGCGCGGAGTGCTGTTGTGGTCGTGCATCTGCTTGGCGAGCGCTGCGCGCTAATTATCCGGCTGATCTGCTCTCGTGGGATCTGCTTCTTGCGCGCGCGGCGCACTATTTACCTGCTCTCGCGCATGTTGCCCTGCACGCGCAGCGTGCTACTTGGCCGATCTGCTGTCGTGCATTTTGCTCTGCGCGAAAAAGCTTGCAACTTGGCTAATCTTCCCTTGTGAGTCTTGTTTTGCATCTGCGTGCTACATAGCTAATCTGTTCTCGCGCATCTTTCTCTGACGCTATTGGGCTCTGACGCTCTAGTGGCTCTTGCTCTGCTCACGCACATCTTGCTCTACACGCGCTGAGCGCTATGTGACTGACCTGCTCTCCTACATTCTGCACGCGCTGCGCACTGCTTGGCTGATCTCCTGTCCTGAGTCTTGCTCTGCAAGCCCTGCACGCTGTTTGGCCGTTCTGCTCTTACAGCCTCGCTCTGCATGCGCTGCGCGCGTTGTGGGTCTATTAAGCTGGCCTGCGCTCGCGAATCTTGCTCTGATCTGCTCTCACGGGCCGCGCCCTGCGCGCTGCATGATGATATTTAGCTGCTGCTCTCGTGAGTCTTGCTCCGCAGGCGCTGTGTGCCATTGGCTGATCTGCTCTCACGGGCTTGCTCTGCATTTGCGCTGCGTGCTATTTGGATGGTCTGCTCTCGCACGCCTTCCTCTGCGTGTGCCGTGTGCACTTTGGCTGATCTGCTCGCGCGCTGCGTGCTATTGGCTGATCTGCTCTCGCAGCCCTTGCTCTGCTCCCCCGGCTGCTATTTGGCTGATCTGCTTTCGCGCGTCTTGCCCTCAACGCAGCGCGCGCTATTTGGCTGATGCGCTCTCGAGGTTGCTCTGCGCGCGCTGCGTGCTCTCCTGCGCTGCGCTCGCGGGTCTTGCTCTGCACGCGCTGCGCTATCTGGTTGATCTGCTCTCTTGTTTGATCTGCTCTTGCTCTCGCGCATCTTGCTCTGTGCCCGCTGCAAGCTATTTGGTGGATCTGCTCGCTTGCATCTTGCTCTGCCTGCACTGACGCGCTCTCGCGCATCTTGCTCTGCACGTGCTGCGCGCTAGTTCGTTCATGCGCTCTCGTATGTGCTCTGGCGCACCTAGCTCTGCGCGTGCAATTAAGGCGCTCTGTCGCGTCTTGCTCTGCATGCGTTGCGCGCAGTTTGGCTGACGCGCTCTCGCGTGTCTTGCGGCTGGCACGCTCTCGCACATCTTGCTCAGCATGCGCGGCCTGCTATTTGATTGATGCGCTCTCGCGCATCTTTCTCTGCGCGCGCGCATGCAGAGCAAAATGAACCAGAACACATCAGCCACATGGCATGCAGCACATGCAGAGCAAGATGCACGAAAGCGCATCAACCAAACAGCGCATGAAGAGCAAGATGCACGAGAACACATCAGCCAAATAGCACGCAGCACATGCAGAGCAAGATGCACGAGAACACATCAACCAAATAACGCAGCGCATGAAGAGCAAGATGCACGAGAACACATCAACCAAATAACACCCAGCGCATGAAGAGCAAGATGCACGAGAACAAATTAGCCAAATAGCATGCAGCGCATGAAGAGCAAGATGCACAAGAACACATGAACCAAATAACACCCAGCGCATGAAGAGCAAGATGCACGAGAACACGTTAACCAAATAGTACGCAGCACGTGCAGAGCAAGATTTACGAAAGGACAACCAAATAACGCAGCGAATGAAGAGCAAGATGCACGAGAACACATCAACCAAATAACACCCAGCGCATGAAGAGCAAGATGCACGAGAACACATCAACCAAATAACACCCAGCGCATGAAGAGCAAGATGCACGAGAACACATTAGCCAAATAGAATGCAGCACATGCAGCGCAAGCTGCACGAGAGGACATCAACCAAATAGCTCGTGCATCTTGGTCTGCAAGCGCTGCGTGCTATTTGGCTGCACCCGTCGACTGCAGTCCTCCGGTTTCTCAGGGGATCGCAGCAGGTGGAGCCGGGTTGGCTGGAAGCTCCCCAGGGACACTCGCCGCTGCATGGCTGGACTGGAAACGTGGAGAAGCAGAGCTATATGTGGTATGCGGCCACGCGCCCTTCGTTTGAAGTTGGTTGGTTTACAAGCATTTTTCGAGCCCAACGGGCCTTCCCCCCACTTGGGATATGCGGCATACCGACAACTGCTGCAGAAAGCCAAGACGCCACGTCACACCCTGCCAGTCACGCACGCATATCTCGTGGCAGCAAGAGCAGACCCACACTTTCCATCCAAAAGAAGAACCATGCGCCAATGATTCACCCTGTGGCCCTCCAACATGATTCCAACCATGGGCCCCTTGATGACTTGCTTCCCATGTTGCAGGAAACAGGCAATTCGGCAAGTCTTGCAGTATCTATGGCTGGGACTGTCCCTACAGCCTTCCTGAAACGAAAAGCAGGGCCCCGGACCCAAGAAGCCTCGCCGTCCGACCTTGGGCTCCGCGGGTAGGGGTAACCCTTTTTGGTGGTTCTGCTTGGTCAATCTTACAAGTTCCCTCTGGCGGAGTCGGCGAATCCTAACATGCGCCTACGTTTGGCTCGGGGCTTGGGGGGATAGTTGTGGCATTCTTATCCTGCAAGAAAACATGTTGATACAAAAAGCGTGCCACGATGACAGCGACGGTAGCTGCTTCTGGAACGCCCCGAGCTCGCCAGGAATCCAGAAAAGCCAGAAAGGAGGTCGGCCAATCACAAGGTCGGTCAGTCGCTTGGCTGGCCGTTTTTAACAAGTGAGGCCTTGCTGTCCCGCATAACAGTCGCCCCCCTAAGCTTCTGGAGTGCAGCCAAATGCTGGAGAAACCCTCATATTGCTGCGGCTCACAGGTCGAAAGCCCCGCGAGCAACGTCCTTGATGCTGGCAGGCATCAAATCTGACGGACATGTGTGTTGTCGAAAAAGGAAGTCATTGTACGCGGAATGCAGCACCAGTTGGGAAGGATGAAGCCCGTGTGACAATCACCTACCAACTGCGCGAAATGGGCTTTCACTGTTTGTCACGGCTGCACATACGTCTTCGTGTGTGCGTGTGTGTGTGTGTGTGTTGTGCCTCTGAAAACAATGTAAATCGAGCAAGTTTGGTGGCCCCAAACCAAGCTCTTTCCCATCCCATTCGGCCGAAAGTCCAAATGGCCACCAGGCT